ACATGTTGGCATTACAACCACCATCTACAACATTGACATCAAACTAATGCCTTCATAGCAATTGACTACGAGTCGTGCAACTTACTGTCACCAAGAACTATATTCATTACAGTTAAACTACGACTATTATTGATAACCCACTGTTGTACAATTATAATGATCATCTCTGTAACTATATATCCCTAATTCATGAGAAGAGTGGTCATTTAAACTCACCATTCATAATTGATTATTTCAATTTGGCTCAGCCCCGTGATTTTTAATTTCCTTTTTCCAGAATTTTCCACCTAAAAACTAAGGTATGTTCTTTTGTTTACTTCTCTTTAATTACATTAGTGTGTGCTTGAAACTCGTGAAATGCTAAGACATTAAATTTATGACTCAATCGCCACATACTTTCCGACACACATCAGAAATATTTTGAATATTTTTAAAAATAACTATACCACCAACAATATCTACATTATCGCAACACTGTCAAAGACTTGTCATCACAATTTAATTTATATTCGATAAAAATAAAAACATTATATATGTTAAAAGATAAGCAAAATAAAATAAAAATGAAAAAAAAATGAGGAAAAAAATCCTATACAGCCCCTTAGTATCATGATTGATACATCAAAAAGGAGCAAATAAAATGAATTAGATGGATTTTTAGCCTCCTATATTTGCATATGGAAATTGAAGAAAAACTCAAAATTCAGCAAGAGGTGAAAATAAACTTCAGGTAGTTATGTGATTGCCAAGAAAATGGATTTGTGGAAATCATATATGCTTGCTCTCATATTATAGAAAGAATATTACATCACGAATCTGCATGTAGAGCTACGTCCGGAGTCCAATGAAATCATGTCACACACGTTAAGGTGAGAAAAAAAAAAAGACCCGGTAACACAATAGAATATTCCTCCCGTGTTATTGTGTGTTATTCAAATGTTATTGATATGTTATTGTGTTATTATAACACCAAGAATATTCCCAGAACACAATAACACATGAATAACAAATAATAACACCTGAGGGGGAGAATATTCCCCTGTTACCAGGAATATTCTTCTGCTATGTGATTTTATTGGACTCCACATATAACTCTACGTGCGGAGTCCTAATGTAATATTTTTTCCATATCGTAGAAGTTATCTGGATTTTTCCACAAATTTCGTTAATTTTGCATGAGATATTATTTATGCCGTTTGCTAATGTATGGAAAGCCAAGAGTGCGCAGGAGATAGATGACTTTATAGTTATATATCATGAATTTTTATATTTTGTATAAGCAAAGATAACCTTAATTAATTCTTATTTTTAAAATAAATATGAATGTATTTTTTTCTTAATGTTTTAGATAAAGTTTATTGGCAAGGCTTTATTCAAAATTTCGTACATCTATTTTTTTTAAAAGATAATATTTTATCCCCAAAATAATTTTAAATATCATAACTCTTGTTTGTTTTGAATAGAAAATGAGGTTAATCATATAAATAGTTGAAAATCTTAAATATCAAATATCTTAATTTTAAAAAATATTAATAAGAAATATCATTGTTGAATCTCAAAATGTCTTTCAGGTAACGCCCAAGAAATAGAGTTTTGAGTCAGATGAGAGGCATAAGAGGAAAGAGAAGGAAATAAAAGTATCAAATAACACTAGTTCTCTAGGAATTGATCGAGTAGTTCCTTCTATAGAAAATAACCATCATATTTACAAGTCATAGAATGAGTTTAATAAATTGCATGATTGTCCTTCATTTAATGAGAAAGTTACAATGATTTATGAGCTATTACACAATTACATATTAGTAACCAAATTGAGCATATTTTGACCTTATAACTATTGTTGTGGGCATTCCGTATCTATAAAGGTGTTTGGCATTGTTTCGTATTTGTAATTGTTCGGCTTGATCATGTGTTATTTATTCGATCGACCAAAAACTCATTCGACTGAATGAATTATCTTTGGTCGCCTTTTTTAAAGGGATTTATCGTGAAAACTCATTGTTCTGTGGTAGGATTATTCCATCAGACATAAAGAACATTATCATAATCTAACAGACATCCTACTTTCGGTCGACGAATCTATACAAAAGTAGTCCTCATTAAATCACTGTTGTCCCGGTGAATACTCTCGGTGCTGGTTATGTCGTTACTTAAAAATAAATGTGTGGCACACCTTGGTTCGGTCAGACTAACGCTCAGTCGACCCAGAGTTCAACAGACCAAAGTGATATTAAATTGCTTAGTCTTTTGCTCCTCTCTTCGTACGATCCGTTTGATTTCCTCGAGAGTCATACAGCCACACTTCTAATGCATAACCACAGAGTTTAACATAACATAATAAGCAATTGGACATTCTCCTTGAAATTGTTGGTTTGAAAATTTCCAGAAAAGCTAATTATAGTTTATTCTCTCCATCAAAATAATAATTTTCTTTCAAATTATTATCAATTTAATCTGGATAAATATACTTTTATGACCAACAATAATAGAGCAAATTAAAAAAAAAATAAATAAAAATCTCTTAAAAAGCAGACAAAATTGACCTCTTCAACTTGATTCTTTTTCTATGTTTCTCTTTCTCTAAGTGAAATAGGACCTTTTTCTTTAAATCCAAGTGTCAACAACCCTTTCATTTGTTCTAAAGAAGCAATAGATGACAATTATAAAAGGACATGTGAAGTGTTTGGGCATCATGTGACCAAGGTGATATGTTATCCTATTTTATGTTCAGATGTTGGGAGTCAAATATGTGATCACACATACACCTAATTCCACCCCTACAATATTATTATAACTTAGATTAAGATATGATAAAAAAAAAAATATCCATTATTTTAACTCTGGTTAGGTTGACGATAAACATGTTCTGTGGGCCCCATACAAATTGTTATCAAAATGATTTTAAATATTATTAGATTAATTTTGAGTTTAATGAGCCCTAAAATTTTCATTTGTGGCATTAATCACAACATGCATTCAGTAAACATTATAAAGTTGGTTAAATGTGATTATTTGGAATTCTTAGTTGAGTTAATTTAAATGTATAAAAATGATTTCAGTGGATATTGAAAATTCCTTTGAAATTTAATTTAGTTTATTATTATTCAGTCAACCATATAAAGTTTTTAAACTCAATTATTTTTATTGCATTTCTAATATACATGATCGTGCGAATCTCAAGAAAATCCAACGGGTCTTTCTTATGAACACCAAATGACATTGTATTGTGATAGTCAAAAGATGAAAACGCAAACATAGTTTCCTTTGGGTGAAACTCTGAGTCAACTAAACAGAAGCACAACTGAACAAATGAAAACCACACACTCAATTCAAGGGACCGTTAGCCAATTCCATAATTCTTCATAAAGAAGGCGAACGGGTTCCTCGAGAAACACCTTTTTGATATTCTAAGAAGGCCTCTTGTCCAAACAAAGTTGCTCCTCAGAATACGGTGATACAACCCCTACCTGAGGGCCGAAGTTCACCCCAACGATATGAGGGCCTCAACTAAGGATTCTATTGAGAGAGCAGACTAGGGGTGTAAATGAGTCGAGTCAAGCTCGACCCATGCTCTTATCGAGCTCGACTCGTTTGCCAAATTTTAAGCTCAAGCTCGACTCAAGCTCAAACGAGAAGCTTGAGCTCAACTCTCATTGATAGCAGTCAGCTCGTGAGCTTGAACTAAAAATTCAAATTTTACGTGAGCTCGCTGGAGAAGGTATTGGTGGCTGGAGGAGGAGGATGCAACAATAGCTCACCAAAAAATGCATCAAAATGATTAAAGATAGGATAATCGAGTCGACTCGCAAGCCAATGAGCTGAACCGGGACGAGCTCGAGCTTGAGCCGGCTCAACTCATTTATACCGCTAGGGCCAACCGATGATCTTCTACTGATTGAATGTATGCCAGCCGACCAAAAGTATTCAACCAACCGAATGACAAGATTAACGAGTTATTAAATGCCCGACTTGAGGCAATTATGATATGAAATGACATTAATGTCAATTAAGCAAAGAGTGTCGTACTTGGCTACAAATTTGAAAATGTGTCATTATAACATATATCGTTCATATTAAAACTGAGTCCGATGTGTAATTTTAGACTGGATACCCATGCGACTTATAAAGAACAGAAGGCACCTCATTCCTCAACTTATTATGGGATTCTTCACAAAGAAGGCTAAAGGTTACCCTATTGAATATCCGTTCAATCCTCAATGAAGGCCCCTTATTCAGAGAAAAGCAGCTTGTAAGATTGCGGTGATACACTCTCTGTTTGATGGCCTAAGTTTACCATGACGACAAAATGACATCTACTAAGAATTCTCTCGAGATGGTCGACTTAAGACCTTTCAGCTGATTGAAGACTTTCCAACCGACAAAGACTTCTTATTCGACCGAACAATTATCAGAAGATCAATCGATAATCCCAACGGATCATTAAATGCTCATCTTCAAGCAGTCAAGAATACTAAGCTATGCCAACATTAATGATGGATAATAGTGAGTCACATAGTCAGTTACTAACAGTGCAATAATTACTTGTAATGACGTTATTAAAATAGCATACATATATAACTTTACAAGATACTCCTGTGATCTATAAATAGAGAGTCATTTTCTTCAAAAAAAAAGATACTAAATTTATCCTTAAAAAACTTGTGCTATTATGCATTATATTTTTCTCTTTCTCTCTATTACTTTCATATGTCTTAACACTCTTTTACTTGGGTGTCATTTAGTTGGGCGCGATCCGAAAGACATTTTAGTACTAACTAAGGATAAGTGTGTGTATATACGTAATATGAAAAAATTGGTAAAGCGGGACCCACCCACGGCAGAATCTTACGCTCCAGTTTCCACGGCTCCAACCGCGCTCGAAACAAAGGTACCCTACCTAAAAACAATCCACGTGGACGTAAGTACAGCAACCCCGCATTATCCCTTGTCCCCTTTACCTTCCGAAAATTGCACTTACCCCCTCCCCTGCAACTCCATCATCATATTAAAGAAAGCCCCATCAGCCTCCCTGCCGTTTACTTGTCCGCCATTTTTGTCTCAGCGAGAGAGAGAGAGAGATGGGAAACTGTCAGACGAACGATGCGGCGGCGGTGGTGATACAACACACAGACGGTCACGCCGAGCGGCTGTATTGGCCGACGACCGCCGACGCAGGCATGAGAAACCACCCCGACCACCACGGC